TGTCAACATAGAAACAACAAAATTTTAGTTAATAGATTATCATAAGATAATGATCATATCTTCTCAAAGAAGATACATTCTATTAATGAGTTAAGTACTATACTGCCACAGTAATATTAGTACTTTATTTATTTTAAGTTTCGTTCTTTTATAACGATCAATGATATATGTATTGTTGTACATACGTAGTATTTAAAGATGGAAAAAAGGGAATCTTTCATTACGCAGTACTTGAAATAGATTCCTGAATGAAAAAACTTGCAAGGTATTTGTTAGAACTTTTGCCAAGGAATGTGAATACTGAACAGTTTTTCTGATATGCTACATATTTATTGTTTAAATGTACAAAGACATAATTTAGATTAAAGTAACTACAATCGAAAAACATGCTTCATACTAATTGGTTCTGTAAAACATTCCTGGACATACAGTATTTCACCATGTATATAGAGTATGAAACTTATTAAATATTGTCGTGATAATATAAACCTGATAGCAATCACTTGTTATATTTACTAGCATAAGGTAATATTTGTTAAATAAATATTAAATGTTAATGGTTCGAATCTTTATTGCATTGTAAAAAAAGATCAACCAAATGATGTACAGTTCTATAGTGATACTGTCTTGTGGTTGCATAACATTAAATTTTCAGGAAAATTGAAGTAAAACAGAACGATTACCTTATATACAAAATATTAAAAGACATGGAATTGCATAGATGCAGAAAGATCTAGCGATAAATAAAATAAAAAAAAAAGAAAAGAAGTTACGTAAATTTACCTTGGAAAAATACATTCCTTTAACTTGCATTAAAATTAAGAAATACAGTTCTTCGTCAATTTTTAGGCTTATTCATACTTAAATTGCTATGCTTATACATAAATATCCTTATACATTAAGTTGAAAATAAGTAATAAATATATTCGCCGATCGAAAAACGTCACAAATGCCTTTTATTCTTTGATGTTAATAATGCGAAATGTAACATTAATAAATTGTTCAAACTTGAATATTTTACCTTCGTGAAGGTTTTAGATATGTAATGTATCATTTCAGATTGACCAAATTAATTTTCTCAGATTTATTTTTTTATGGATGTATTCATTAGAGTATTTTAGAAACGAATCAATTTAATAATCAAACAGATTTGTATAACAAAAAACAATGAAGTATATTATATAATTTTATTCGCAAGTAAATGTATAAATAACATGTTTAAACCAAAAATGATATTTAATATAAAGGAATTAGAGTAGAAATTTGAGACAAGAATCTTATAATGCCTATAACTATAATATGTATCAAGTATTAAGCTCAGTAAGTGATGTTTCTTCTACTATTGAAACAATATCTGTAGACTGGAACATGAATTGTGGATAACTGATTTCACATTACTATTACAGTAAAAATTACAATGCCCTTATTATTCAATAACACAAAGTTTCAATACAAGTTTGTTTTAATTAAGTAGAACTTAAAATGGATAAATATACGTTAAAAAGATGTATTCATGGCTTTGTTCAATATTCACATTCATATTAATGCATTACAGAGATAGATTAAAGTTCAAATGAAATATTTGATGAAACATGTGTATGTATTTAAAGTTGTACTCCGAGTCGATATTTTTTTTATACAAGAGTCGAAAAGGCGTACTATATAATAATGTAGGCTTCAGTATAGTATTTGTAGGATGTTTAAAAAAACAAATACAATTCGATAATCCAATATGCAAACTTCTTGATGCCTGATGACATAATCACGTTGTAAATTGATTGAAATTATCAAAATAATAAATAATAAAAATCGTACATACTTGAATACTTATTTATTTTCAAGAATTTTACTTTTTATCAAATATTCTTTTTAATCTCCACATTTTGCATAAAAGAATTATGGAATGGCTATTGTAGCAAGCAGATGTATATTTATAAATCTTAAACAAATGAAAGTGTATATAAAACGAATTTTGATTGCATAACTTAATTTTACTTTTTGTTATATTTATCTATTTTCATAGTATATATACAGATACTATAAAAGATAATTTTTATAGGAAATAGTTTTTTCATATAAGATTAGAACTTTTTAAAGTGGTACAATACCAATTTATACACTTTATACATAAGACATATTGTAAAATTCAATAATGTTCGAGCAGTTATTGTCGAATGCGATACAGATACAAAAAAATTAATTAGGGTAATTACTTCTATATTATGTTCTTTTTTTTTAAAGATATTACTTTATTTAAATGGTAATTTAAATGCAATTATTGCACGCCAAAGGGAATGTCAGTTACCAAGCTAGTAATAGTAACTGTACTCATTAATACTCTTTAATACTTGTACATGTTTAAAATACTTATGGTTCAGTTTTCAATATGAATTATATTTTTTGATAAAATATATATACCAAAGAAAAATATTTTTAATCAATATTTGGTGTAATAACAAGTAGGATTGATTTAAAGGAATATATAAATGTAACAATGTACTGTAATAGCAAATTTAAAAAAAAAGTATATAGCACAGAAGTGATTTTACTATTAGTTTTTCAAATACAAATAAATGCAATGTCTTATTACTATGTTGTACTTTGCAAGTGGAAATTGTATTTGTTAATGGGTATTGGCTTTCCATTAATTATCACTTGTGGCCCCATATAATAACGCCATAAGAGACTGTTTCCTCTTTTTAACTGGTTGGTAGCTGAAAGGTGAGACCAGCAATCTAACCAGCTATTGTAAATTGGCATTTGTGGAGGAAGACCGGCAATTAATCTTGATGAATAAAATTTATTAAATTAATGCGTATTTTAACTCTTCTAAAATAAATACAAAATTATCTTTATTTCAAATCAACTTACCCACAATTATTAACTGCCATACAGTGTGATACCACTAAAAATGGATATGTAATTGTTGTTACTATAAACTGTAAAGAATAAGTTGTAATATTTGTCATGATATGTATATTATAATTAAATAATTAATCTGTTTACCCTTATGACAGAAACTGCATATGGTTTCAATTCTCTATCACTTATAATGTATTTATCAATAACATAAGTAGATGAACTGACTAGCATTAATACAGCAGCATTTCCAATGAGCCGAGGTAATAATCCTGCATAGTATCCCATGATTCCATTCTCTTTATATACTTCTACAAACGATCTAAACAATCCGCTGTTAACGTAAACAAAGAGATAATGCATCTATGATTAATAGCAAAATATATTATACATGTATTTTGAGTTCTATTATCTATATTGTGGTATCTACATACTTGTATTTTGTTTCTCCACCAACAAATTGTGCCATCATCCTTAACGCAATAACATCTAACGGATGGCTAACTATAATTCCAATCATTCTACTAATTAGGTCTCGTATGAATTCATATATACATTTTTTATGATTCTGACTATAAAAAAATGTAATGTGCATTTTTATAACTATCATTTGAAAACTTTATGTTACACATACAGATATACATATCTATACATTTACCTTTCTTCTAAATCGCAATCATAAATTTCTTTACTTGGTTCATCATTAAATTTAATGCATTTAGAAGCTTTTTCAAAAGCTACAGCACTCACAGTGTAGGCACATAATTTTGGAATAAGACCACGGTAGCAGCCAGTGAATCCATCTACATTCTTTATGTATCTAACTGTAAAGTAATAATTTCAAAAAAAAAGAAAGAAAGAAAAAGAAACAGCAGTTTGCATCAATCAAAATGACAAAGTAATTTCAAAATCTCATAGTTTAATTTATTTATGACACTAAAGAATAAAATTGTTTACCGTACTGAAAAACGTTAGGTAAAGCTAAAGCCGGTTGTCCAAATAAAGTAGTTGTAGGTCGTGGTGGAATCGGTTCATATCCGATCTATTTTGTTATAAATAAAAATTATAAGTTTCCTTTGAACAATTTTAGTTTCTGCGTCAATTATCCACTAAGTATATTTGTTACCTGTATTAAAACTTTAGCGTATTCGATAGGATGCGAAACGGTATTCATTAGCATACGAAGAGCAATATCAGAGAATAAAGGTTCATCTATTGGCGATATCATGTTTATTTAGAATTTATCTTGCCAGCGTGTCAGGGCAAAGTATCTATTTATTTGATGATTTTGATCAATAATCACAGTCAAACTTCGCTCAGTATATTGAAGCTCATACGAATCTTGTGTAAAGAGAACGCATATTCACCGTCTTTCCCATCCAGAAACTAGGTAATGTCAGTAATACAATATATTCCGAGACAGAGAACCAAGGGAAACAAATCGTATATTTAGAATTTTCCTAGATGTGAAACTCGATTATGATTATCTGAAACAGATAAATATATTGCATTAATAAAATGAATAAAAATACTAACACAATAACCAATCAGTGACTTGGATACTTTTCGTACTTTACATACATCGTAGTTTAGGGAACTTATCCTAAACCTAATATAAACGCAATAACCATTCGGTGACCTATATCTTTGGTGCATCGTTGTTTAGAAAATTTAACGCAAACCTAATTCAAATACGATAATCAGTCAGTGACTTGGATACTTTTTTATCTTTAATATATCGTTATTTAGAAAATTCATTTAAATTTTCAGTTTATAAATATATTACAAATACCAATGAATTGAACTAAATCTCGAATCTTTCAATGTTAAAAAATATATCAATGTTTATTGAAACTATTTTAAAGAGATATTAATTATGAATAGACTGCAAATTTTTATGCATTTATAGGAAACGTAAAAGTGTAAAATTGCACAGAATTGCACAGGTAAAACAATTTCTATCTGAATTTTCATACAAATTCGCAAACTAGTTATAACTAGTATAACTATAACTAGTTATATTATAATAATCATATAATATGTATATTATATTTTAATTATATTAAATTTGCAATTCGTAAAATTTTGAAAATTTGGTATTATGTTGTTTATAGCGCTCTCTGTCGAGAGGAGTTGGGACGTTATTTTTCTAGATTGTTTTCGTCATGGGTGCTAGTGAGGTAAAAAAGTATACGTGAGGAATATCGTGCTGAGCTCATCTTACGATTTCTGGTTCATCTGTTCCTGCTTCGATGGCAGAACTGTATGCGAAGTAACGGAGTAGTTAATGTGATGTTTTGTAAAGGCAAAAACGAGGTGAATTTTTCTATTAATTATTCGTTATTTTAACAACAATACATCGACATATTTCCTCGTGGCATAAGCGGATATCATTTCTTTTTTTCTTATTCTATGTAGAGCAGACATTCGACGGACACGAGTAATAGCGACAACGATTAAAAAATTTTTCATCTAATTGCGTGATTAAAATTATATACGAAATAATTTCTTCGTATTATTTTCTAGAGACAAAAGTTGATTTCATGCTTTATGGGATCAAAGGAAAACTATAATCATCGTATAAAAAACAATTGATAGGAAAACGTTATTGTTTCGAAGAGATTTATAGCTATAGAAAAATGTTTTGCAATCAAAACCAAGTTTTGTTCTAGATTTATTATTGGTTTTAGAAACTTGTAAAATAAAATTTAATGAATAAAATTTACTTCTAATAATTTGCTAAATTTATAGGTTTCCACGAAATTAGTTCATCTTATTGCGAGATGTATTCCGTAATTTCTTGTTTCTACGATTTCATTAAATAAATGTAAATGAATTATTATATAGGAATTAAATTAAATGTTTTAATTATAGATGTGAAATTTGTTTTAATTATTCTTAAGAAGTAATGGTATTGCAGAAAGTTGTGAAACTAAACAATGAAAGGAATATTTTAATATGATCTTGTTATAGAATGCCAATACAGGCACCACAGTGGACTGAATTTCTTTCGTGTCCAGTTTGCTGTCATGACTTTGATGTGGCCATACGTGGTCCAATATCGTTAGGATGTGGTCATACCATATGTCGTACGTGCCTTGCAAATTTACATCGTAAACAATGCCCTTTTGATCAAGTAAATAGTTTTATTATTATTATCATACAAATAAACTTGTATATTTATATATTTGACTTCTGTTATTTAAAATATTTAATATAAAATTACCTCTTGTTATGAACTATAATTTATTTATATTACATATTTTAGAGTATTATTAATACAGAAATAGAAAGATTACCAGTAAATGAAGCTTTATTACAATTGGTGGGAAATCCTGTTCCCACAAATGTTGCAACAGCTTATCAAAAATTGCTACCACCTGAAGACCATGCTAATTATTTGGTTGCAAAACGTTGTATTGAGGAACTTGCTCTATATCTCAAACCATGTCAGACAAATCCTTCTTTAGCTACAGGTAATATTAATGGTTATTTGTGTAGACAATTCTATAATAACATTACATAATCTGAGCCCATGTTTAACTAAACAACAGGTGTTGGACTTGTTTCTCGACCTATGCAAAGGAAATTGGTAACTTTAGTTGGTTGCCAGTTGGTTGAACCAGAAGGAAGAGCGCGTGCAGTAAGGGCAGCTAGAAGTTTGGGTGAAAGATCAGTTACAGAGTTGATACTACAACATCAAAATCCACAACAACTTAATGCTAATCTATGGGCTGCTGTAAGAGCTCGTGGATGTCAATTTCTTGGGCCAGGTATGTTACTATCATATAACTCAATAGCAATGAAAAATATGAATAAAGTAATATATACTAATAAACATTTCTTTGCAGCAATGCAAGAAGAAGTACTAAAACTTGTTTTATTGGCTTTGGAAGATGGATCTGCCCTTTCTAGGAAAGTATTAGTTATGTTTGTAGTTCAACGTCTAGAATCACATTTTCCTCAAGCTTCTAAAACTAGCATAGGACATGTTGTACAATTGTTGTATAGAGCAAGTTGTTTTAAGGTAAGAATTATTCTTCAATTGCAATAATGAATATTTGTTATTAAGAACAATACTTAAATAGAATGTTTGAATAGGTATCTAAACGAGAAGGAGATTCATCATTAATGCAATTAAAAGAAGAGTTTAGAACATATGAAGCTTTGAGGAGGGAGCATGATGCTCAAATAGTGCAAATTGCGACTGAAGCTGGTTTAAGAATAGCACCTGATCAATGGTCTGCATTGTTATATGGAGATACAAGCCATAAATCTCATATGCAAAGTATTATAGATAAACTTCAAACTCCACAATCTTTTGCTCAAAGTGTACAAGAATTGGTTATTGCTCTTCAACGTACTCCTGATCCTGGACAATTAAGTAGTCTAAGACCTCAACTAGAATTGTTAGCTGCAATAGATCCTAGCCCAGGTATGATCCATTACATTGCAACATTATATTAAACAAATTAAATATTTGGATTAACTTCGGATTCATTTAACTGATTAATTTTGTTATAGAAACTGAACCTCCTACATTAGCAGAATGTCGAGCAGCATTAGAAGCTGTTAGAACTGTAGTCGCAGCGTTAGTAGAGTTCATTCAACAACACGGTAATCGGAAAACGCAAGATGGTACCCACAATGTAGGTCCTGGACAACCAAAATATAAAGTGAGCATGTGTCGAGATCTCGCACTTAGAGGCTCTTGTCCTAGGTCTACTAATTGTACATTTGCTCATAGTGACATGGAACTAGATAAGTAAGTACACATGTACGTGTTCAAGAAAATTCTAAGAAAATTCTGTATAAATGTATCTCTTATGTATGTACATCTATTCTCTTATTAGATATAGATCAAAAAGTCGGAAATTGAGTCTCAGATCAAGTTTACCTGGAATCAACCATTCGGATGTGAAAACAGACAAATCAGTTACTGGATCAAATAATAAGACATTTAAACAAAATGACGATTTATCTTATCATTCCATAAAGTCGCATGATAATACTCATAGGGAAAGTAAGTGTTTGTATAAAATAAATAATACAAAACATTGATTGGAAAAATTACAATTATATCATTTTCAGGCTTTAATTCTATGAATAAAGTTAATCCAATACAACATCACAACCCAACAAATGAAAACAATTTTATCGGATCATTAACGAATTATATGCTACCATCTCCTCAAGGAATGTTACCTGTGGTACCAACGAAAAATATTGACGTACATTGTTCTCATTATATTATGCCTAATACACCTGTTGATTACACTGCACCTAATCTTAATATTTGGGATTCGTCGCAGCTTTCATCTAATATGACCAATGGAATATCTAATACTAAAAAGGTAACATGATTATTCTTATATGTTAGTAACTTCTACTGTATATATTGAAATATTTCTGCATATTGCATGTTAAAATGTTCTTGTATACTATAGCAGCGAACTGTTGCAAAAACATTGGCGATGTTACTGCAACGTAAGGTGGAAATATTAAACCAACTTGGAACAATTGTCAACAAACAAGTGCCACAGGTGAAAACGGTACAATTATAATATTTCAGTGCTGAAATTACAATGAAAGTTTGGAACATATATTTTATTATTCTCTTTTTCTATTTACAGAATTACGACATACAAGGAGACACAATATCATCGAATTTCTCTATATGGACAAACACACCAAATAATCCAATGGTTTCTTCAACAAATATAAATTGCAACAATAATTTCCGTTGTGCAGATCCCATTCTATTCGATGATGAATTTGTGCCATTTGACGCATCATCGAATAGTAAATATGGACCAATTTCTAAACTATCCAAAAACTTAATCAGGTAATAATTCTTTTTATAACTTTATCAGTAAAGAAATATTGTTTACGAAAAATAAATACATGATATTAAGTCATAACAAAATAATTTTCTTTTAGATCTACTAATGGCGTACAGTCTACTAATTTCTATGCAGATGGAGGAACATCTCCTACAATATCTGCTTATCGATCTATGCCAACTACAAATTCTATTACGTCTTGGTATTATGGAAATCAACGTAAGTGTAATGAAAAATGTTTTTGGGAGCAAGAGAAAGAGCACTAGAAAATATAAGATTCTATTACAGCTTATGCAACAATTGGTGCAAATGGAGGAATACAGGCTATCAATAACAGTAATTTTGAAGATAGTTACATTACATTTGGTCGTAATATATCCGATACGTCAACGCACACACAACTTCCTCGACCAGATAGTATGTCTAAAGAGTAAGCTAATATTTAATACACTATTATTTTCTTGCTAATTATTTGGAACATTTAATCTTATTATAATTAAATTTATTCCAGCTTAATTCTTGAGTCGCAAAAGGTAAAACAACAATTAAAACATCTTGAGAAGAAGATTAATGACTTGAAGGTATTATTCATTTACTGTTTGCTTTCAAATAAAATATTTAATAACATTAATATGTAAAAACATTTTTAGCTTGCCACACAAGGTGCAACTTTTACGGCTGGGGAAAGGTTAGCACAAGAATTACAAATGATTGAAGCTGGCATCAGAGAAAAAGAAAAAGACGTACGAAATTGGAGTCCATACGGTACCGTACCTTGGATTCAATCGTCGAACAATTTACTTAGTTCTCAAAATTTCAGTCAAGATTATAAGCCCGAAGAAGTAAGTTATGGTGTTGTGGTACTGCATTGGAAGAAAGAAATTAAGTATATCAAATCTGCTTATTGTAAAAATAATCGATTAAAAATTTATATAAAACTTAAAATTGGTTCTCAGGAAGATACCTACGAAGCAGGTATCGCAAATGATATGCGGGAATTAGAATTACGATGGGAATTCGAACTACAAGAACAGGAAAAACATTGGTCAAGTGAAGAGGATAATTCTAAGAAATAATAGTAAGATAAGCGATTCTTACTAAGTTATGTACTTCTTAGATCTGACCATTATTTGTCGGAACATGTTCTTTTTAACATGTGCAAATAATTTTTCGTGCGAACTTCCATGCATCATGCATAAATGTTTAAATTTTGTCAACAAAATGAATGAAAGTAAGTGAAATTTGCCTAAAAAACATTTTATCGCTCTTGCGAAACGAAATCAAAAGAAAACAACATGCATTATCAAATGAATAGATTGACAAATTTATCGTCCCTAATTAACATGAAAGATTCTCCTATTGGTATGGTATAATGTAAAAGTGGATTTACTACTTCCTCATGTACTATGTCTTTAAAACGTCTTCATACTTAATATTAATTCTTTAACTATGAGAATGTATTTTTTCCTGAAATTATTATTAACGTGGAGGTAAAAAACTAGTTGTAAATATCAGGCCTGTAAATATGAAGCCGGAATTTGCCTATAGATATACTATACCTTTTTTTATTTATCAGGTCTGTAAGTATGAAACCGGAATTTGCCTATAGATGACTCTAGCTGATAATTTAGTTATCACTAAACTGCGTCATTGATACCAAAAATCTTTGTTGACATCTCGCAAACATTTTCGACTCAGAACAATACAAGTTTCATACAACAGCATAGTTTGTAATAGTGTTTAACATGTCAAATTTTGGAAACTACGATTTGCGGACAGCATTGATTTTCTGTTACCATTTGAAGAAAACTGCTACAGAATCGCATCGAATGTTTGTCGAAGCTTACGGTGAGCATGCTCTTGGTAAATCACAGTGCTTTGAGTGGTTTAAAAAATTCAGAAGTGGCAATTTTGACGTGAGGAACGAAGAACGTGGAAGACCACCAAAAAAGTTTCAAGACAGCGAATTGCAAGCATTGTTGGATGAGGATGACGCTCAAACGCAACAACAACTCGCTGATCAATTAAACGTGACACGAGAAGCCGTCTCCATACGTTTGAAAGCCATGGGAAAGATCCAGAAGGTGGGAAAATGGGTTCCACATGAATTGAATGAAAGACAGCAGGAAAACCGAAAAACCACTCGCGAAATGCTGCTCGCGAGATACAAAAGAAAGTCATCTCTCCACCGAATTGTGACTGGCGATGAGAAGTGGATATATTTTGAGAATCCTAAGTGTAGAAGATCATGGGTAGCTCCAGGCGAACCACCGACATCGATTACAAGACCAAATCGCTATGGACGGAAGACAATGCTTTGTGTTTGGTGGAATCAGAAGGGTGTGATCTATTATAAGCTGTTAAAACCTGGCGAAACCGTTAATACTGAGCTCTACCGACAACAAATGATCGATTTGAATCAAGCTTTGCGTGAAAAACGACCAGAATATCAAAAAAGGCAACACAAAGTAATTTTGCTTCATGATAATGCACCATCACATACAGCAAAACCGGTCAAGGAAACGATCGAAGCGTTCAGTTGGGAAATACTTTCGCACGCGGCTTACTCAGCAGACTTGGCTCCGTCCGATTACTATTTATTTGCATCGATGGGACACGCACATTCTGACCAGCACTTCACTTCTTACGAAAATGTACGAAAATGGCTCGATGACTGGTTTGCCTCAAAAGAGCGACAGTTTTTTTGGCGTGGCATCCACCAATTGCCAGACAGGTGGGAAAAATATATAGCTAGCGATGGGCAATACTTCGAATATACAAAAATTCCGGTTTCATATTTACATACCTGGTAATGTAAGATTTCAAAGAAATCTTCATAATGATGTAGCAATTCATGTTTAGTTATGCAGGAAGTCGCATCGTTTTAATTTTTTACTAGCTGCAGTAGGGAGTCTATCATAAAGAAAAATCAATGGAAGAAGTGAGAGTTAGCTGCCGCATTGAAATTACATTTATAAAACCAATGAAAGGTTGATCGATGTTCCGTTATAGATATCATAATGGGGACATTCATTGACAAGAACAAATTAGACGAACGAGAGTAGATTTGTTAAAATTTAACAGAAATTAATGTCAGTGTTTTATAAACATGACAGGATGTAGTATATTTTGTTTATATGTTTGCACAATGAAGCAAAGAATATTATATTATTGATACATTCGGAAAGAATGCTATTTAACCTGCAACAAGGTTACATGATGAAAATATACGGATACATATAGGTGTTATGCATACATAAAATTAACATATTCTGTTAAAATATTGCATAATTAAGATATATATTGCTTCTAAAATAAATATATATATCTTAATTATAAATATAAATAAATATATATATATACATAATAATTGATTTTTAGCTGATAAAACAAAATTTTTTTTAAATACTTAGCTTTCTTACTGTACTTCCGTTTGCGATTCATGTTTTCATATTTGAAAATATGTTTCTAAATAAAACACAGTTACTTGTACATCATATCACACTTTGTTATATTATAATATTAATACGATGTCAAGTTTGGTTCCAAGTCTTAAAATACAAATTCCAGTTTTGGATTTCTTTTTTTTTCCTTTTTTAAATTTATTTTTTTTGAATAATCATTTATAATTGGTTCTCAAATTAATACAATTTGTACAAAATTGATACATTAATGAGATTATGAGCAAAAGTAATTGAGAAATTTATTTTTCTCATGACTGTTAACTTTCTCCCTTTTTTTGTAAAGTTAAAAAAATTATTTTATTTTTCTATCTTTTTTTAAATCAGTACTAAGAGTCCTATTTCACATTTTAAGTACAAAATGTTACAGTTTTGAATACTTGAAAAATTAAAAAAAAAAAAGAGAGAAAAGGTAAAATGAGGAAAATTTAATAATGTATAAAATTTTCCTTTATTTGACAATATGTAGTGGAAAATTAACTATAGATTCCATTTGTGCCTGGTAAAAGAACCATTGCATTTTAATTTATTTGCTGTGACTAATTGACTCGTTCGAAACAGTGGTTTTCAAACTATTGATATGTTTGTAGCAGTTAATATGTTTGAAAGGTTTAAGGAATTTTTATGATTTTTTATTTTTTAGTTTCCTTTTTTGTAAATTTATGTTTATCTAGTGCAACAGAGTCTGAGAGCCACTGATTTAAAATTATTTGTTACTAGAAAGTGAACAAAATAATGTAAACAGACTGTTATGCGAGCTGCAGCTCTCACATTTGTAAACATGTTCGATTTACGGACTTACGAGAAATAGAAACAGTCACATTGGCTTCCTCTTAACTATTATCTTAATTTCCTATGCTAGACACAAATTAACGTATGTATTATTGGCATACTGTTCTTATTTCTGTATTGAAAAAACAAAAAAAAAGGAAGATGAAATTAATATTTTTCACAGCAGGATGTGAGTGAGATATGTATTTTATTTTATGGACGAAAATTTATATTCTTGATATAGCTATTTGCTGCATTTGATATAACATCTGTTAATGGAAAGTTTTTGTTTCTTTGTTAAAAAAAAATTTACTCACTTAATATTAATAATGTTTTGTACATGTGATAAAAAAATTTGATCAAGCTGAGTACATTGATCAAGTTGTAATCTCTTTACAGTATAGTGATTTATGCATTACAATAGTCTTTGGGTTCTTCTCTTTTTTATGAAATAATGTATAGTATAGATATTCATAATTCCAGTTTTAGTGGAAATGACATAGACTTTTTATGAAATGTAGAGATCAAAGGAAAATTGATCTTTTTCATTAAAACTATTGTTTTGTCTTGCTACACAAAACTAGATATGTTCATGTAGAATATTATTTCTTTCGAACTAAAATGTGCCTTTTGAATCATACATAGCAACACATACAAGACCATATAAAACATTTTGTACAGTTGCACATATTGAGTTCAGTATTTTTGAATCCTGCAGAGGCACATTACTCTGAACCATGGAAAGAAATGTAATCTCAGAACATAACTAGTTTCTTATAAAAAAAATTACGAATAATGGTGCAATTTTATTTGTTTTATTAACTTATAGTAGCAACTTCCTTTCGTTTATCATTAAAATTATAGAAAAAATTAACTTGTTCTACTCCAGTGTATAGAATTACATTTTTCTCCTTTCAAACTACATATATTTTACTTTTAATTAGATGGAGTAATTGAAAACTTTCACATGAAAAAATTACTTTCTTATATTTTTATAAAAAAATATATTTCCATTGCAGATTCGAAGATATATAATATACAAAATATTAAATTATATGTTTGTTTTACATTGAAGGTATCATTGGTATTGATTATGTTTAGATTTGAAACTATATTTATATATGTTTGAAAAATATGTTAGAAACTTTATTATTTATTCTGTTACTGATTTCACAGATACAATTATGAGATCTTAAAGAAAGGTTTATGTAGTACAAATTTTTTATTATGTCTATGAGAACTTCGTTTGCAATCACTATACATTCATCACAATATTATATTCAGATATCACAACACATAATTGGTGATTGTACTGAAGAAAATGTGTGACAATATTGCAGAAAGGGATCACTATTTAATTTCTTGACATAAATCTAACAAATACTTTTTATGTGAAAGTAGTTCTTACATTTTAAATCAAGATTCAACATTCGTTTTACATCAAATGATATAGTTATAAATATCAAATTTTGTTGATTTTACAATTCTGATCAAAGTGAGTCATTTGAATATTCTGTAAAATAGAAATAAGAATGAATGTAAAAGATCAAATGTTCCTTTCTGTAAATGAACACCATATTCACAGTTTGTTCAGAAACAAAAGCTTCTAAGATTATTAATTTCATAAAGTTTTGTTTCAAATTACTATCTAATATTTTATATAATTCCTTTATAAAGACAACTAAAAAGCTTTAAAAAATCCTTGAATATTTCTGTTGTTTAAAGAAATTATGATTGACTAGGTACTGATCTGCTTTTCACAAAAGATGTTGCCCTTTGATTTCTGTTTCTTCTTTCTTTGCTTATTTTGTTTTTATTCGTAGTATGACTCATTAATAAATGTAGAGAATAAAAAGCGAAGAGGGCTGTGTACACTGGGAAGTAATAAGCGCAACAATACTGTTTGTGCAAGCTTCAGATTAATTGCATGTTAAACATGTCACTATGTGTATAATAATACACGCGTACCTATGTTAATGGTATGAAACCACATACAATCTATATTAACGTTCTTTGTTTGAACATAATGAAACAATA